GGACTGGAGCTGAGAGCTTGTGATCTAGTGGCAGAGGTGTGGGCTGTACGGAGGAGAATTGAAGACCAAACCTCTGAAGGTGCATGAGGCACCAAGTGTGACTGTGTGAGAGTGATGGTGCATGCTGCTCTATCCCTGGACATCTGCAGCCCAAGGTAGCGGCGCAGCTCTCCTAGTCTAGTGCAGGTGTGTCTCCTCAACAACTCGACCTTTACCGAGGCTAGTGCATCTCTGTCTGCAGTAGCAAAGACCAGGTTGTCTACGTAGACTAGGATGTAGAATAGAGTCTGGCGTGAGCGAACGATGAGTGACGCGTTAGCAGAGGACAGAAAAAGCTGAAGGTCTGCTAGTTTAGCACGCTGCATGTCGTGCCACTCGCGAGGCGCCTACCGCATACCGTAAACCGGGCGCCAGAGGAACCACTCGGTCCTAGGAGGGAAAGTGTCAGAGAAGCCTGGCGGACGGCGCACGTAGATCTCCTCGTGCAAACTGCCCTGGAGGAACACTGTAGAAAAGTCCAGTAATGAAGCTCGTAGTCGCGCTACGCTGCTACGTGAAGCAGCACCCGAAGAGTGGTAATCTTTGAGGTCGGGGCAAAGGTCTGAAGGAAGTGAACACCCTCATACTGACTGAAACCTCTAGCATCGTAGCGCACCTTGAACACCGGCGGCTCTCCAGGAGGGCACTTCATTTTGAAGAGCCAACGGCCATTGACTACGTTCGCCCCAGGTGGGGGAACTGCGTCGACGTAGGTGCTAGTGGATCTCCAATATGCCATCTTTGCATCCATGGTAGCTATCCATTGAGAGGCCCAGGGTCCCGAGGTCGCCTCAGCGTAGGTGCGAGGGGTCGGGATGTCAAGAGCATCTGGGTCCCCCTCAGGGGCTAGCAACATGGAGCAGAGATGAGGAGCGGCCTCGGACAGGAAAGCTAGCTTGTACTATCTGTCCTCTAGGACGTCACTGCCAAGGGCAAGTGCACCCTCGACGGACGGAGGAGGGGCAGGGTCAGAGTCCAGAATAATGGCGTAGTCAAGGCGGCATATAGAGGCAAAGTCAGCGACCGCAGCAGCAGGAGCTGAGAGACTGGAGACAGGGACGGACGGGTCGGTAACTAGAGAGGCGAGGACCCAAGGAACAATAGGACTTGCAGCATAGAGTACGTTAGAGAGAGGAGGCGAGGAGACAGAGAGGGACGAGTGAGGAGGCGACGGGAGAACAGGAGAGGGAGGAGCACGAGATGCGTGATACCGGAGAGACATAGGGTGGGAGCTCGAAATAGGACAGAGAGGACGAGCACGAGGGACACGGTGAGACCACCAATGGGAGGGAGGTGTCGGGTCAGGAGACAAAGGCGGAGACACAGGAGGAGAACGAGGGGGGAAACGTGCCGGGAACAATTCAGGCGGAGGAAACACAGGGGCGTAGACAGGCGGAGGAGGTGGTGCCAATGGAGGCGTGGACGGGTGGTCGGGGGAGGGAAGACTGAGGAGGTGAAGGGCGGACATCGGCGGCGAGTGCTGCTGCTGCTGCTACTGCTCCGCGTCCATACCAGAACCTGCAGCCACACCACGGCTACCTCCAGTACTCGCCACGACAGCACCCCCAGAACTTGCACCTCCAGGACAAGCACTCCAAGCACCAATAACCCCAGAATGAGGACCCTCCTCAGCGCCCGCACCCTCAGCGCCAACATCCACAGAGATCACGGACCCCTGCTGATGCGGCTGCTGTTGCGGTGGTGAGGGTTGTTGATGCGGCAGCTACTGCAGCGACTACTGTTGCAGCGGCGACTGCTTGCAGCCACAAGCCACGGGATAAGAACGCCACGCATGTCGGCCTTCCGCTCCAGGGGAAATAGCATTGTGTAGCGAGAGTAGTCGTCTACGAGAACCAAAAAGTACCGCTCGCGACACGACCCAAGGAAGGGGGCTGGGCCCTAGACGTCCAGGTGCAGGGTCTGAAGTGGCGCAATGGTGGGGGGAAACGAGAAGGATTGAGGAGCACGGCGCAGCCAGCCCTCGACGCTAGGATTGCACGGAGGCACGGGCGAGGGAGGATGGGAAGAAAGCGACGCAGGGATACCCACGACAAGACCATACTGGGACATGCGAGGGAGACGCGGGAGGGTAGGGTGACCTAGGCGGTGGTGCTACAGCAGTGACGGGTGAGTGAGCGACCGACACGAGCAAGTTGCATCGAGCTGGGTAGACGCAGCCACCTGGAGGGACATAACCACCGGGGGGATGCGTTGTCCAGTGTAAATAGGCCAGACACCGGGTCCCGAGGGACACCAATGGCGGTCTCAGTAGAGACAGCGTACCGCTCGTGCCCAGGAAACGTAGTGGTGACATCGAGGTCCTGAAGACAATGGACACCAACCAGGTTCTTAGAGAACGAGGGGATGTGCAGATCTGTAAGGGAGCGTGAGGGAATTGCTGGACATGGGAGGGTGGTGGAGCTACGTGGACCGTAAGAGGGGTCGGCAAGGGCGACTTCTACGGGGGCTGAATGCGGCGTGAGAGTGGTGTGGTTGTGAAAGAAGCAGGCGGACGCACCAGAGTCCAACGTGGAGGAGAGCGCGGCGCTAGCGTCAGCCGACGTGGGTGCAAGCATGGAGCCAATGCTAAAAAAGGCAGACACATGATAACGGACTAGACTACACACGACGGACTACACCTACGCTAGGCAACACAGGGCAATAGAGTCCTGTAACACTAGAGTTATCAGCATACATGGCATATGAAGCAGAGCGAATCTGATCCCTAACAAATATCAAAGATTGGCATAGACGACGTACCAGGCTAGGCCAGTCAGGGAGGTCCGGCGCAGGCCCAAAGCGGAGACGGAAAAGGTCGTCGAGGTGGCGGTAGCAGCGGGCCACAGTGTGACCGGGATGGCCACACATAGTGCCATGAAGGGGACCACACTGGAGCTGGTATTGGCAACTCACAGAGCTGAAGCCGCCACCCGACGTCGAGCTGCGAGGGTCGCCACCGTGCCCACCACCACCAAAGCCGCCAAGCCACCATGGCCGGGGCGGTCCCCACGGCTGTCGCTGCTGCTGCTGCTTCTGCTCCTGCTACTGGGGCTGCTGCTGTTGCCTTGGCTGCTGCTGCTCTGGGGCGTCAGCACCTGCCCCCTCGTCCACACAACCCGCTCTCGCACCACCCCCACCACCCTCGCCACCCCCGCCACCCCGGTCGTTAGAGTATGTGGACAGGGAGGGAGCACAGCCGTGGAAGATAGGGACTGCCGCAGTACCGCTAGACTGAGCAATTGTGTGCTGGCGAGTCTGTATTGCAGACAGGGTGGTGACAAAGTTGATAAGGATGAGGTCAGCGGGGTGAAGACTAGGGAAGGCATTGCAGGCAATGGCTAGGCTGTCGGGAAGGCACGTGGCTAGGAAGTAAAGGGTAGCACTCAGGGAGGGAGGCAGTACAGTGAGCTGGGCCTCAGTGCTAGCAGTGCGGTAGCTAGTGTGAAGAGCACGCAGGTGGGTGGCAAGATCAGCGACAGTGGGGAAGGACGCGTGATCAGGGCTGCACAGGGCAGGAGGAGACGGCCAGCAGAGGTGGAGGAAGGAATGGAATAGCAAGCAATGACTGCATCTAGGTACTCCTTCGCAGTTTCAACGGTCTAAAAGCAGGGACGCTTGGACATGGAGAGAGCGTGACTAATAGCAAGCTGCGTGACGGCGTCACGCGACTCTCAAACAGAGTGGGCGAGCTCAGCAGCTGTAAAAGCCTTACGCTCAGCAGGCGTGGGGGCGTCAGGGAGGGCAGCAGGCGCAAAAGGGTAGGGCAGCTTACCATCGACGTGGACGCCCAGTGACTGAACATCCAGGCGCTGACCCTTCAGTTGACGGTGCAGGTCGGCGAGCCACGCCTCAAAGTCAACAGCCCGACCTTCCGCGTCTAGGCGGAGAACAGTGTCCGCTATCATGCACAGCTATAGCAGCTGAGGAACGTCGGAGGAGGAGGAGTAGGAGCAGGCAGGTGCGGTGGAGTGCAGTGGAGAGCGGTGGGGTGGGGTGGAGTACGGTGGAGAGCAGTAGAGTGCGGTGGGGTGTGATAGCGTGCGGTGGAGTACGGTGAAGCCGCGAGAGAGAAGACAGGGGCCAGTGGCGAGCTGAGGTGGCGCGGCGAGCTGGGGCCGGCGGCACGAAGGGGCCGGTGGCAAGCCGGGGCGGCGCTGCGAGCTGGGGCCGGCGGCGAATGGGGGCCGGCGACGAACTAGGGCCGGCGGCGAGCAGGGGCTGCGCGACGAGCTGGGGCCGCGCTGAGCTGGGGGCTGCGACAAATTGGGGCTGGCGGCGAGTTGGTGCCGCAACAAACTGGGTCCAACGGCAGTTGGCGAGCTGGGGGCGCGCGGCGAGCCGGGGCGGCGCTGCGAGCTGGGGCCGGTGGCGAATGGGGGCCGGCGATGAATTGGGGCCGGCGGCGAGCTGGGGCTGTGCGATGAGCTGGGGATGCACGACGAGCTGGGGCCGCGCTGAGCTGGGGGCCGCGACGAATTGGGGCTGGCGACGAGCTGGGGCCGCGACGAACTGGGTCCGGCGGCGGTTGGCGAGCTGGGGGCGCGCGATGAGCTGGGCCGGCGGCGAGTTGGGGGCGGCGACGAGCTGGGGCCAGCGACAAGCTGAGGGGCCGGCGGCGAGCTGGAGCCGGCAGCGAGATGGGGGCCGGTGGCGAGTTGGGGCTGGCAGCGAGCTGGGGCCAATGGCGAGCTGGGGCCGCGCAGCTAGCTGGGGCCATCACGGCTAGCTAGGGCCGCGCGGCGAGACGGAGCCGCGCGACGAGCGGTGGCCGTAGCGGCAGGCTAGGGCGTCGCGGCAGGAGGTGGCCGACGTGATTGGCTGGGCCAGCGTGGCAGCTAGGGGCCAGCGTGGTAGCTAGGGGCCAGTGCGGCAGCTAAGGGCATGCGCGGCAGTTAGGGGCCAGCGCGGCACGGCGAGCTGAGGGCCGACGCGGTGCGGCAGGCTGGGGCTAGGAACAGGCGCTCTATGGTAGGCTAGGGCCGAAGCGCGGATGGGTGGGACCAACCTAGCGTGATACCATCTCAGAGTAATGAAGTGACTAGAACAAGGCAGTACAAGAGAGATATAGGGTTGGTGTTGTACCATCTAAGAACACAACCCTGTCTAGCCTATAACTTCTACATATAATGCATATGTATAAGTTGACAGCTTGTACTGGATCTAACCTGTATGGAGTGGACTACGATCCTTGGCATATATCAGCAGCTTAGGCATGATATTTGCTACTTATCCAACCTTATTCTTCTATACCACTAAGTAAGTGCGTAGCTGTTACAAATGCATTGTGGACTTTCGTTGAAGCCAGTTGCCCACGTCTTCGCAGCATCGCACCATTTCGTGAAAATGAGGCACTGGTGAAGGAATCTGCTGCAGGAACCACGCCCTCAAAACCTAGCAACCCTGCTCGACGCACACAGGTCCCAACCTGCGCAATGCCCGTCCCTCAAAATCGTCGACCAAAAGAGCCATTTCTCTTGACGTGCCTCTGTATGTCGGGTGTCTATTTTAGCCCCACGTGTAGACGCAACAGCATGCCCTGCAACAAACCACCCATGCCAATCACGAGCTACATCCCGCGTCCTCAGCATTCTTCGCAAAGAAATTTCTTCCTCGCAAGCAAGCGTCGCATGGGCGTGGCCTCGACGCCATGCATGGCTGTATGGCCCTCACACATCCAACACGCCTCATGATAGCAAGACAGCCCTGGGCGCTTGGCGTCGACTGGCAATCAAGCCTGGATGCCGGTGGTATGCCGCCGAGGGACCACACACACATCGGTCATCCTCCGGCGGCCAGAAAGCACCGGCTTGGCCACTGTCGCCTGCAATGTAACGCATGGCCTTCGAACGAAGACACTCGGAACGAAGTTAAAGATGTCGTCAGCCTTCCATCCCCAAACAGATGGGCAGATAGAGCGGACGAATCGTACTCTTGAGCAGATGCTTCGTTCCTTCATTGGCCCAACTCAGGATGATTGGGACGACTTGTTACTTGTGGTTGAGTTCACAGTAAACAATTCCGTCCATGAAGGTACCCATGAAAAACCCTTCATTCTGAACTGTGGTCGGCATCCCACGACACCTGCCACGCTGTCCCAGCAGCGACAAAAGTCTTATGCCGACATGAAACGCCGGGAAGTCTCTTTTGAGGTTGGAGACAAGGTATTATTGAGCACGAAGAACATTCGTCTCAAAATCCCTGGGGCACGAAAGCTGTTCCCTCGATGGATTGGGCACGAAAGGTGATCCAGCGCGTTGGTGTGGTAGCTTACAAGTTGAAGTTACCCGAAACATTGTAGATTCACAATGTCTTCCACGTGTCTCTGCTCAATAAGTACATTGCTGACGGCAAGTACTTACCTCCTCCAACGATCGTCCTCAGAGAGGAACTCTTTTATGAGGTCGAGCGTGTGCTCATGCACCGTGATCGACAGCGCGGCCGCAAGTCAGTACGTGAGTTCCTTATTAAGTGGAAAGGCTATGGGCCTGATCACAACTCATGGGAGCCAAAGGAACATTTGACCGAAACTGCGGTTCACGGATATCTGGAAGACCTGGCTCAAAGAGTAGCCTCACAACCAATGGATGGTGTTGACCCTGGTCGTAATGTGATTCGGCGCGCTTGAAGCACCCGTCCCCAGAAGCACTCTACGGCAACGAGGACGTTGCCACCTAGAGGGGGAGGAGTGTAACGCATGGCCGCTGCATAGTACACGGGCCTAGAAACGACCATCCCAACCACCTTTCACAAATTGGCTACCTAGGTAGCGCGAAATGGGAAGGAAGGGTTGGGAGGGGAGGATTGGGATTGGTCGGTACTTGGGACCAATCAGATTTTAGTTGTACAAATTGAGTTGGCGAAATTCCCAACACATGCGATGGTTGGATTTGTGACCAATCAGAACCAGGGAGTTGGTTGGCAATGCCAACTCAACTCGAATATTCTTATGCTGTACACTGTATGCTAATCTGAATACATTGCTGTAAACCTTTCATTGGTTGGAAATCCAACCCTTTTGCCACATAAGCTAGCTCACCTCCTTGGAGCCATGGAGGAGGTTGAGCAGCTGCTGGGAGTCATTGGAAGGGGTCTGGGCTGAGAAGCTCATTCTCAACTTCCCACTCCAAGAAATCAATCTTGAAATGGGATTTTTCTCTAAGTCATGAGCTCTCCTCACAAGACTTCTTACACTAGTAGCTTCTAGTATAGTCTCCTAGGGGAAGCCCTACCCAACCAGAGCTTCAAGTACTATCCTCCAAGAGTTTTCTTCAAGCTTAAGCTACCTCTTGGAGGGGATTCTTCCTAAGTACAACGCTAGGATATCGTTAGTTGACTTTGTACTCCATTATTATGTCCTAGGATCTTGGGTGTTGGTTTTTGACTTTAACCCTTGTTGCCCATGCTATAAGGGCAAGGGTTGTTACATTGGTATTCAGAGCAAGGTTAGTCTTAAGCCTTGTGGGACTTTTCTTGATATTTTTTTTTTTAGAGGGGTGATTGGACCTCAATCCAAGACATTGGTGTGAAGATTTGAAGATCTTTCAAGACATTTCAAACTTCTCCAAATAATTTGACAGCTTCTTCAAGATCTTGACCAACTCCAACCTTTCTCAAGTCCATTTTCCAGTACAACCTCTTCTTCTACCTCCACCATTCAAGATTTGAAGAGAGATCATTTTCTCTCTTACCCACCTTGTTGGTGGAAGACTCCCTTGAGGAGTGTGGTTCAGATCTGCGATCTGTTGCAAGATCTAGCTTAGATCTTGCCCTAGCATTGAGGTGCTATGGATTGGGCAACAGATTGTCATTCATGTAATTTCTCATATTAAGTAATTCTGTAAAGAGATCTCTTTATTAAGATTGTCTTGCCCTCTCATTGCGGTAATTGGGACTTTAACAGATTTCTTAAGAGATCTTAAAGAACATTTCAGATCTGTTGCAACCTCTTCCTTATATTACCATGACTTCAAGTCAAGGTTTGGAGAACTTGGAGAGGGAGGAGCCTTATGTGACTCCTGAGAGAGCCAACCTTGCTGCTAATAATAACCAACAGCAAGATGAGGCAATGGCTGATATTGAATTGGTGGACCTAAACTTGGAGAATGAGGGCAATGAAGAGCATGGAGAAGCAGAAGGGATTGATGGAGCAAAGGGGGAGGATGATGCATCGAGGCATGGTCGCTCTCCGATGATGTGGCTAAACTCCAGGCACAAGTCTCAGAGCAGCAGCTTACAATAAATCAGCAGAAGGGACACATCAACTCCCTCAATATTGCTTTGGCAACACAAAAGGCGGACATGACTAGGCTGCAAGCCAATCTCAATATGGCATACGGAGAGGTACGGGATCACAAGCGTTTGCTACATAACCAGGGCAATCAAATCCTGGCTCTGGAGAATTCGTGCGACCGGCTGCAAGCTGCTATTACCCAACTGCAGACTACAATTGCCCAGCTGCAATCTACTATCGCCCTGATGCAACCTGCTATTGCCCACTTGGAGAACCAGTATAGGGATATTCGGAGGGGTCCTATCTACCAACACTCACCCATCGGGCACCCAATCCAACCCGCCGCCTGTTGCAGCTCCTTCAAGCACTTCAGCAGCGTGTCCAGCCTATGGCAACGCCTTTTGGCTCGCTCCCCACTGCGCTCCCAAAATTCATCCATGGCAAGACGGATGTTGAGAACTGGGTGACAACTGTGGATGAAATGCTGACTCTCCACAACGTGCGCAACAACGCTCGTGTCACCGCTGTCTCTAGCGCGTTGGATGAGCATGCTAGTCAAACCATGTTTGCTAGCTGGAAGCAGCTCGAAGCAAGTGGAAAGGTTTTCACTTGGGACAAGTTCTGTGCTGCAATGAAAGCGGCTTTCCTTGGCAAGACAACTGACTTGGAGGTGCGTCGTCGCCTTGAAAACATCAAGTGCAGCGATCGCTCTGTGCAGAAATATGCACAAGAGTTTGAGAGCGTTATGCGACTGCTGGGCAAGCAACTGTCTGAGAATGAAGTTATGTATATCTTCTTCCAGCACTTGCCTCAGTCCCTGCAGGATAAGCTTGTCGCAAATGGCCTCAACAAATGGAGCACCTACAAGGAGCTCAAAGAGGCGGTTCAAGCAACGGACGAGACTGTTCGTATGCTAGCAACGCCTTCCATCGAAGGACTCAGGTGAAGGGTGATGGTGGCAATGGAGGTGGTGGCCAGTGGAATTCCAAGGGGAAGGGCCATGGGTACAAGAGGCCCTTCCACCAGAATGGTAACCAGCAGCGTCCTCCGGCTAAGAGGGCCAATGGTGGCGGTTACAAAGGGCCGCCAAGGGACTTCACTAATGTCGTGTGCCGAGGGTGTGGCCGCTGTGGTCACATGGAATTTCAGTACTGCTATAGGAATATCATAAAGCATAGTGGTAAGCCTAAGGGCAACAACAATGGCGGCGAAGGACCTTCTGGCAGTAAGAAGGATTTTCAGAAGTCCAACTAGGGTGTGGGTACCTAGTTGGTCAGATAGATCGAGGGGATGAGGCATATGCTTTATGTGACGATGATTTACTAAAGCTAGAGAAGCTTGCTGAATGCAAAATCTCTTGTTTGTTTGCCTCTTCTTTTAATAAAAAATCGATATTCGCACCTCGATCGTACCCACTTGATTCTATATCCATCAAAGCGTTACGAGATAAATTCTCAGTCTTTTACTGTGGCCTGGACACATTGCCTTCTGTACTCAAGAGCACCCCCTGACCGCGGTCGCCGTGGTGACTCGTACAGTAAAGGGCGAAACGTTTTAATCGCTTCGTGGATGGGTTGTGTTGGCATCTTGGGACAAGGGACACCATGGTGGTGGACCAAATCTGAATCCTTTGGACGAGCCCGCCACAATGTCAAGGTGTACTACAAACCCTCGTCAAACATTGTGGCATGCCCCATCCGCCCAATGCATCAACAAAATCTACTCCTTTCGGGTCGCGTTAACGGACATAGCGCGAAAATTCTTGTCGATACAGGCGCCACTGTTTCCCTCTTTGATGAAAAGTGGGTCACACCGCTTGGGGTCCTCGTTGAAGGACCGTCATGTCCCATTCGTCTTGGTGACGATAGTCTTATCCCAAGTAAAGGACGGACAATGATCGACATGGAAATCCAAGGCTATAGCGAAAAGATTCGCACTTACGTTCTCCCCTTGCTTGCGGGTGTCAACGTAGTCTTGAGAATGGATTGGTTACGTGCAAATGAGGTTATTATGGATTTCTAGGATAACACAGTTTCTTTCACCAAGAATTGTGAACCAATCCAGTGGCATGTGTTATTCGACACAACCATCCCGGCAGTTCAAATGACGAAAAGTCCAGACGTGTGCTTTGCTCTTGCATGTCAATTCGGACAGCATTACCGCATTGCTAACACACTTTTCGTCGTACAGCTCGAGGAAGCTGGAACCCCAACGCAAGACATTGGGGATTTTCCACCTCAGATGAAGGTTCTGGCGGATGAGTTTAAGGAGGTTTTTGAGTCTATTCCAGACGGACTCCCTCGTGACCGCGCCGTGGGCCACACCATCCCTGTGGAGCCTGGAAAGCTCCCACCGTTTCGACCTCTGTATTGCCTCAGTCCAGCTGAGTACGAGGAGGCTAAACAACAGATTGAGGAGTACCTCAGGAAGGGATGGATTGAGCCAAGCGCATCACCATATGGAGCATCAATCTTGTTCGTTAACAAGAAGGGTGGTGGCTTACGCATATGCGTCGATTACCGCGCCTTAAACAAGATCACGATCAAGAACAGATATCCTCCTCCAAGGATAGAAGACCTGTTCGATCGACTCCAGGGTGCTCAATGGTTTAGCGTGTTGGATCTGGCACAAGGGTACCACCAACTGCGCATCACTGAGGAAGATAATCCCAAGACGGCATTCCGTTCGCCGTTTGGCCATTTTCAATGGCGCGTGCTGAGTTTTGGCTTGACCAATGCTCCGGCCTCTTTTCAGAGGGCCATGAATGATGTGTTTCGCGAAGCTATCGGATACTTCGTTCTGGTTTACCTCAACGATATCTTGGTTTATTCCAAGACTGAAGAGGAGCACACTCAACACCTAAAATGGGTGCTAGGGAAATTGCGAGAACACAAGTTCGATGCTCGTTTATGGAAATGCCATTTCTACAAACGCGAGCTGGAATACCTCGGTCATCTTGTCGGGAACAACAGACTTAAAGTCGACCCCAAGAAGATGGTGGCTGTTCAGAATTGGCCCGTCCCACAAGACGTGGGTCAGATCAGGTCCTTCCTAGGCCTGGCCAATTATTTCCGCCGGTTCTTGGAAAACTACTCGACTGTCGTTGCCCCTCTGACAGCACTCACCCGAAAGGGTAGTGCATGGGAGTGGACTCGACAATGCCAAGAGGCATTTGACAAAGTCAAAACAAAGCTGACCAATGCTCCGGTTTTGGTATTGCCAGATCTTTCTCAACCCTATGAGGTGGTCACAGATGCCTCGACAGTAGGGATTGGGGCGGTACTCTTGCAGGAGGGCCGTCCTGTGGCATTTGAGAGTAGGAAGCTCTCCTCGGCAGAGCAGCGCTATACGACGTTAGAACAAGAGTTGCTGGCGGTCGTGCATGCGCTGCGAACATGGTGATGTTATCTGGAAGGTGTGGAGTTTGTGGTCATGACAGACCATTGTTCGAACACCTATTTCTCTACTCAAGCCACGCTCACTCGGCGCCAAGCCCGCTGGGCAGAACTCCTTAGTGGGTTCACATTCGATATTCGATATCGTGCAGGTTCTACAAACATGGCTGACCCCCTCAGCAAACAGACAATAGGGGCAGTGACTGGGCTTGATGAAACCGAGGATAAGGCAGTGGTTGCTGCTTGCTTCGGTATTCTTGCCGTGGCTCGAGTGAGTGAGGTCACCTTCAGTGGTTTTCTGAAACGCATCCGTACAGGATACCATATTGACCCCTGGTTCCAGAACCCACAAAATACGAAGGGCCTCAAGTACGAGCATTAGCTCTGGTGGCGAGAGAAAGAGATTGTAATACCCCACGTGGGTAACTTGCGGAATGATATAATTGAGGAAGTGCATAGCACCAAGTACGGGGGACACCTGGGTATCAAGAAAACCTGGTGGGCCTTAAGTGATGTGTACTGGTGGCTTGGATTGGGGACTGAGGTCCAACAATTCGTATCGCGTTGTGATGCATGCGCAGGCAACAAGTCAGACACGAAAAAGCCTGGTGGTTTGCTTCAACCACTGGAGATTCCAGACGAACCTTCGGAGAGTGTCTCACTGGATTTCATCACATACCTCCCAAACACACGCGACGGTCATACTGCGATCTTGGTCTTTGTGGATCGATTGACCAAAATGGTGCACTTCGTTACTACTACAACAGACGTATCTGCGGAAGATACGGCCAAGTTGTTTGTAGCACACGTGTTTCGCTTACATGGGTTACCGCGTGTGCTGGTGTCCGATCGAGATCTGCGCTTTACAAGCCGGTTCTGGTACGAAGTTACACAGACACTCGGAACGAAGTTAAAGATGTCGTCAGCCTTCCATCCCCAAACAGATGGGCAGATAGAGCGGACGAATCGTACTCTTGAGCAGATGCTTCGTTCCTTCATTGGCCCAACTTAGGATGATTGGGATGACTTGTTACCTGTGGTTGAGTTCGCAGTAAACAACTCTGTCCATGAAAGTACCCATGAAAAACCCTTCATTCTGAACTGTGGTCGGCATCCCGCGACACCTGCTACGCATGGGATAGGCGGACTGCGAGTCCCTGCCGCGAAAGACTTTGTGGGCAAGCAGCAAGAAGTGCTCAAGTCTGCTCACCGCTGTCCCAGCAGCGACAAAAGACTTATGCCGACATGAAACGCCAGGAAGTCTCTTTTGAGGTTGGAGACAAGGTATTATTGAGCACGAAGAACATTCGTCTCAAAATCCCTGTGGCACGAAAGCTGTTCCCTCGATGGATTGGGCCGTTCGAGGTGATCCAGCGCGTTGGTGTGGTAGCTTACAAGTTGAAGTTACCCGAAACATTGTAGATTCACAATGTCTTCCACGTGTCTCTGCTCAATAAGTACATTGCTGAAGGCAAGTACTTACCTCCGCCAACGATCGTCCTCAGAAAGGAACTCTTTTATGAGGTCGAGCGTGTGCTCATGCACCGTGATCGACAGCGCGGCCGCAAGGCAGTACGTGAGTTCCTTATTAAGTGGAAAGGCTATGGGCCTGATCACAACTCATGGGAGCCAGAGGAACATTTGACCGAAACTGCGGTTCACGGATATCTGGAAGACCTGGCTCAAAGAGTAGCCTCACAACCAGTGGATGGTGTTGACCCTGGTCGTAATGTGATTCGGCGTGCTCGAAGCACCCGTCCCCAGAAGCACTCTACGGCAACGAGGACGTTGCCACCTAGAGGGGGAGGAGTGTAACGCATGGCCGCTGCATAGTACACGGGCCTAGAAATGACCATCCCAACCACCTTTCACAAATTGGCTACCTAGGTAGCGCGAAATGGGAAGGAAGGGTTGGGAGGGGAGGATTGGGATTGGTCGGTACTTGGGACCAATCAGATTTTAGTTGTACAAATTGAGTTGGCGAAATTCCCAACACATGCGATGGTTGGATTTGTGACCAATCAGAACCAGGGAGTTGGTTGGCAATGCCAACTCAACTCGAATATTCTTATGCTGTACACTGTATGCTAATCTGAATACATTGCTGTAAACCTTTCATTGGTTGGAAATCCAACCCTTTTGCCACATAAGCTAGCTCACCTCCTTGGAGCCATGGAGGAGGTTGAGCAGCTGCTGGGAGTCATTGGAAGGGGTCTGGGCTGAGAAGCTCATTCTCAACTTCCCACTCCAAGAAATCAATCTTGAAATGGGATTTTTCTCTAAGTCATGAGCTCTCCTCACAAGACTTCTTACACTAGTAGCTTCTAGTATAGTCTCCTAGGGGAAGCCCTACCCAACCAGAGCTTCAAGTACTATCCTCCAAGAGTTTTCCTCAAGCTTAAGCTACCTCTTGGAGGGGACTCTTCCTAAGTACAACGCTAGGAGATCGTTAGTTGACTTTGTACTTCATTATTATATCCTAGGAACTTGGGTGTTGGTTTTTTACTTCAACCCTTGTTGCCCATGCTATAAGGGCAAGGGTTGTTACATGCAGGTTCTAAAACGAGTTGGCGGGCCTGAGTTTGCCTTGCCGCAGTGCCAGGCGGAGTAGCTTTAACGACAATCGGTTTTGCCTCTGGCACTAGTAGTGTGTTCCGTCGCAATCGAAAGCGTCGGTTGTTCCCGAGAAGCGGGTCCCTTCCCGTCGTTGATGTCGAGCCGACTGGATCACGGCAAGGAGACAGCAACAGATTGACGCCGATGAACAGCGGCTCTCTGATTGGTGACTGCACGGACCTCGAGATCGACTGTGCTGCAGCAGATAGCCGCGATCTCGAGAAACCCCAAACCACTCTAAGTGTGCGATAAGAGCAGCAGCAGCAGCTGAGGGTGGTGATAATAGTCGCGACGTCGAAGCTCTTGCCTATCGCCTCTCGCTCGACGTTGGCATGCCGAGGGCGATACCGCAGCAGCAGCTGGACGCCATCGCCACGTGCCTCTTAGTCGCAAACGCCATGTGCGACTGGCCTGACTCAAGTGAGCGCAAACAACAAGACGCGTTCGGCTTCCGCGTGCTGCGCAGCATGCCGGGGGAAGCGGAGTCGCTGCTGCTGCGAGGTGAGCAGGTGGATGAGTGGGCCAGGGGGAGCGGGGCAGGGGGATGAGCGGGGCAGGGGGAGGGGGGGCAGGGGGATGAGCGGGGCATGGGGATGAGCGGGGCAGGGGGAGTGGGGCAGGGGGATGAACGGGGCATGGGGATGAGCGGGGCATGGGGATGAGCGGGACATGGGGATGAGCGGGGCATGGGGATGAGCGGGGCAGGCGGACGGGCGTTGGCCAGTCAAGAGAGGTCCATGAGAGCGTCTGGCAAGAGCTTCTCTCCTCTGCAGCAATAGCAGCGCTGGCCCTCGTGGACCCCCACTCCACTTTGCAGACATGCTCCTTCAACACACACACCTCTGCACGTCTCCTCCCCTCATGCCTTCTCACTTCATGCCTTCTCCCCTCATGCCTTCTCCCCTCATGCCTTCTCCCCTCATGCCTTCTCCCCTCATGCCTTCTCCCCTCATGCCTTCTCCCCTCATGCCACCCCCCTCATGCCACCCCCCTCATGCCACCCCCCTCATGCCAGCCCCCTCATGCCACCCCCCTCATGCTTTCAACCCCGTGCCTGACCTCCCACGCCTGACCTCCCACGCCTGATTTCCATGCCTAATCTCCAAGCCTAACCCCCATCCCTACCCCCCCATGACTAACACCCATGCTTTGCCTCCCATGCCTCACCCTCACTCCTAACCAACCCATTTCTACTCCCCCCATGCCTAACACCCTATGCCTAACACCCCATGCCTAACTCCCCATGCTCAAGCCCCACCCTGTTATGCCGAACCCCCATGCCTAAGTTTTCAATGCCTAACCCCCCATGACCCTCCCCATCATGCCTCCCCCCATGCCCAACACCCCATGCCTAACCCCCATGCCTAACCCCCATGCCTAACCCCCATGCCTAACCCCCATGCCTAACCCCCATGCCCAACCCCCATGCCTAACCCCCATGCCTAACCCCCCCATGCCTAACCCCCATGCCTAACCCCCCCCATGCCTAACCCCCATGCCTAACCCCCATGCCTAACCCCCATGCCCTTAGTTGGTCAATTACGTTTTCGTACGTTTACGTACGTTTATGTGTTACGTTTACGCGTACGTTTGGGCGCACGAAATGAGTTTACGTTTCCGGGCATGCAAAACTTTTTTTGGGCTGCCCTAGGTATAGGAGGTCCCCAAGTAGGCTTGTGGAACACTGCAGCAACTTAAAAAGATGTTCCGATATGCAAAAAGTCCCTCAAAAAAATACTGACCAGAACTATGACATACATAGATTACCCTTCAGGTCTAGTCACCTGGCACATCATCCTGCGCGTCAACATAGCAACAATCCTCAAAGTCATCGTCATCCAAGGGCTTGTAATCATCGAGCTCCTCCTCCCCCTGGGTTACTATGGTGCCATTGACCATCCTGTTCTTCGCAAAATCCGCATGCAACTTTCGCACCGTGTTGTAGTTGCTCGTGACATAGACTAGGTCCACGAGTCGTTTCAGTCAAGACGATTGCGGCGCACGGCATGGACCGATTCCCAAGCGGACCAGTTGGTCTCGCATGTGGATGCAGAGACACATTGTTTGAGGACTCTGCAAGCAAGCTTGGCGACGTGAGGGCAGTCACTACCATTGAACCGCCACCAATGCACTGGGTCCAACTTCCCTTTTTTAATGAGACCACTCTCTTTACGTGGCTTTTGATCGCCGATTTTCCCTGTGCCCTGGAGGTAAATCTCAAGCTCCTCCTCAACAATAGTGGCCAGGGGCTTGGAATCACCCTCCGCATCGATGATCTCCTCGCCGTCATAGTATTCTCTGATGAATTCAGTAAAGATGTTGCTGCACTCGTTATCCGGGCCAAAAAATTCAGCAAACTGGTTGGGCGGATACAAAATCTGCCCAACGACGTAAAGCACACATTTGACGTTGTTATTCCACCTGTTGCGTACCGCCTTGGCAATGGTTTTCTTCTCCCCCACCTGGAGATCACGACATGCCGCAATGACCGACTCCTCGAGATCCAGCATTTTCTCATATATCAGCCCCATTACCTCCTGGTTCCCGTCAACTTCCCTCAGTAGTTTGTACACCGGCTCCAACACCTTCACCACCCACTCGACTCCCTTCCAGAACTCGTTATCCTCAACTTTCTCTTTCGCCCACGTCATCTTCTCCTTCTTCGCGGCAAAATCGCTCCACCCCTTCGTCCACATTATCTTGTTCAACACCTCGCGCACTTTGACAAGGCGTTCCACCGCAATGAAGTTCGTACCGATGTACTCCACTTTCGGGACGCAGGGACTGAGCAAGTAAGACGAGGGACTTTTGCTCACGCAAGCGACCCGTCATCCAGTGAGCATTCTTCAATGTCGAGATCAACCGCTGCGCGTCCTCGATAGTAGGCGCTGCCCAACCTTGGTCGCTGATGTCTTTCATGAGATTGTTGAGTGAGTGCGCAGCGCAACGGATGTACTCCAATTTTGGGTATTCGGCCTTGATGATCGTTGCCGCACTGATGTTGCTGCTCGCGCCGTCCATGAGAAACCCCACGACGTTTTCGCTGCCAACCATCTTGATTGCTGCCTTAAGGTGCCCGGCAATGAACGCCTCGGACTTGATTTCTGTGCCGCAATCCACGCTGAAGAGGAAGACCGATGCGTACGTGTTGACCGCCGGAAAGTTGAGTTGTGGATGGTCGACACCGTACGTCCACCCATCATTCGTGACGCACATGCCCACCTTGCTCCAAGATTCCTTGACCGATTTCAACGCGTTGTCAGTGTTCGTCTTGCACTCTTCCAAAAGGCGTCCCATTATCAACTTGCGGCTGGGCGGCATGAGATTCGGACCTGCAGCCGTAACCATCTTGACCATGTTCTTGAAGGCCTCATGCTCTGCAACATTGGGAGGAATGCGACAGACGTGGAAGAACGTGGCGACCG